TTTTGCCTGAAAATTGCTAGAGGACCCCAGAATTTGGATTGGAGCCGCTGGGTCTACATGCTGGTCGTGGTCCGAAACGGGTCAAGGAGAAAGGGTTCCTGATCCCCTGTTCTTCGTTCCATCCTTGGCCCTCTCTTCCAACCTCCCAATTGGTCATCTCCTCACCTCCTTCTTCTGGTTAGTCACTCACTCCCTCTTCTTTCTGATTGGGCAGTAGCCTTTCTTTCTTCTCTTATCCCGTTCCCCACTTCTTCCTTCTCTTCTTCTTTAACTTAAAAAAAATAACTAAATGATAAATAAATATAAACATTATAAAAATATATAAATAATGACTAAAACAAAAGTACTTCTCGAGTTTACGGTTCCGTAAAACTTTAACCATAACCCCAAATCCTCTTCTGCTTGTGCCTACGAGTCCGTAATGTCGAGTACTTCAAGAAAACGCTAAAGGATTAATTCATACACCTCATTATACGTTGATCAACGAAAGTCAAGACCCTCACCTCTAAGGGTATTTTCGTAAAATCACGCTTTTTAAATTTGTAAAAACATAAAATTAGGGACGGGTCGTCACATCTACCCTTAAGAATCTCAATGAAAAGTCTCACCTTAATTTTCAAACTTCACATTGAGGCAAATGTGAAAATAAATAGATTGAACGGTGATTTATGTACGAATTTACAAAACCGACTAAATGTCGTGAGTGTTAACCCAAGTTTTTTTGTGAAATTTTTTTTTTTTCGCGAAATTTTTTCCATCAACATCAACATCAAGGAAAACTTTATAGGCATTTGGAAGCAATTTTATGATTTGTTGACCAACAAATTATATGTAGTAGAATTTTTAAGCTGAAAGCTAAAAAATAAGTGAAAATATATAGTAGTCAGGCCCAAAACATTGCCAAAACGGGTTTTAACACCCACGAATATTGACAAAAATTCTTATATTAATTTTCAAAACCTCATGTTGAGGTGAAGGACAAACAAATAGATTATATTATGATTTTTGTATGAATTTGCAAAATCGACTAAAAAACGGGAGTGTTAATCCACATTTTTTGTGAAAATTGCAAAATTTTTGTATTTCTGAAAAATATTTTACACCATCAAGGAAATTTTTATAAGGCATTTGAAAGTGGTTTTCAATTTATTAAGTAACAAAAGTATACTTAGTAAAATATTTAAGCCAAAAACTAAAATACTAAGTGAAAAATATAGTAGTGAGCCCCAAAACATTGTCCAATTGGGGGTTCCAGTCTCAAAATATCAATAGAAAGACTTACACTAATTTTAGAATCATGGTGAGGCGAAGGTGAAAACAAATAGATTCAATGAAAATTTTTGTTCAAATTAGCAAAACCGACTAAAAGCCGTGAGTGTTAACCCATGATTTGAGTGAAAAAAAAAAGCAATTTTTTTATCTTCGCGAAATATTTTCTGTGAGCATTAAGAAAAACTTTGTAAGGCATTTGGAAGTGGTTTTACCATTTAGTGATCCTCAAATGTATTTTTAATCTAATATTCAAGAGAAAAACTGAAAAATAAGTGAAAAATATAGTAGTGAGGATCAAAACATTGCCAAAATGAGGTTAAACCCTCAAGAATATCAACAAGAAGTCTTACACTAATATTCAAAACCTCACGGTGAGGCTAAAGTGAAAACAAATAGATTCAATAATGATTTTTGTATCAATTTGCTAACCAAACTAAAAACTGTGAATGAATGTTAACCCGTGTTCTTTTTTGAAAAATGCAAATTTTTTAATTTTCGCGAAATATTTTATGTGAGCATAAAGGAAAATTTTTTAAGGCATTTGGAAGTAGTTTTACAATTTATTGAACAACAAATGTAAATTTTGAAAAATATTCAAGTCGAAAACTAAAAAATAAGTGAAAATTGTAGTTGTGAGGCCCAAAACATTGCTAAAATGGGGTTCCCCCTTCAAGAATATCAACGAAAATTCTTACATTAATTCTAAAAACTTCAGGTGAGGCGAAGCTGTGAAGATGAAAACAAATATATTTAATGACAATTGTTCTATGAATTTCCAAAACCGACTAAAAACTGTGAGTGACACACTTCTTTTGTAAAAAATGAAAAAAAAATTGTTTTGCAAAACATTTTATCTTGTCTATCGACTATTGCCATAGGTTCCTCCACATAACTCAAGTCTGGACTCACTTCCAGGGGTTCTGGTTAAAATACATGAGAAGGATCCGGTACGTATTTTCGGAGCATGGAAACATGGAATACATTATGAATATGAGACAATTCTGACGGCAATTCCAATCTGTAAGCCACTGCACCAATTCTTTCTAAAATCTGATAGGGACCCAAATAACGAGTGCTTAACTTCCCCGCTTTCCGAACCGCACTACACCCTTCCAGGGAGAAAATTTCAGGAAAACAAAATCGCCAACCTTGTATTCTCAGTCTTTGGAATGCTGATCTGCAATGCTCTTCTACCTGTCCTGAGCAGTCTTCAAATTTCTTTTGATGATCTGTATATTAGCATTAGTGGTATCCACGATCTCTGATCCCACCAACGACCTTTCTCCTGCCTCCGTCCAACATAATGGCGTCCTACACGCCTTCCTGTAAAGTGCTTCAAAAGGTGTCATACCAACACTCGAGTGATAACTATTATTGTAGGCAAACTCAACCAACGGCAAATAGTTATCCCAGCTACATTTCCACTGTAAAACCGACACTTTTAACATGTCCTCTAAAGTCTGAATCGTCCGCTCGGATTGACCATCAATTTGTGGATAATAAGCAGTGCTGAACAGTAACTGGGTACCCATAGCGTCATTAAAGGCTTTCCAAAACCTGGAAGTAAATCTAGGTCTCTGTCTGACACGATGGAAATAGGTACACCATGAAGATGAACGATATTATCAACAAATAACTTTGCCAATTTCTCTTACAAGTAGGTTTGTTGAACTAGTAAAAAATGAACGGTCTTGGTAAATCGATCGACAATTACCCAAATACCATCGTACCTTGACGGTGTTCTAGGCAGTCCGTACACAAAGTCCATAGTGATATCCTCCCACTTCCAAACTGGTATTGGAAGATTCTGCATCAGTCCCCCAGGTCTTTGTCAGTCTGCTTTAACCTGTGGGTAGATTAAACATTTACTCACATACTCCGCTACGTCCCGTTTCATCTCTTCCCAATAATAGAAAAGATAAATGGTGCGATACAATTTAGTACTCCCCGGATGCATAACATAAGCTGAAGTATGAGCCTCATCCTGAGTTTCCTTTTTAACAGCTTCATTATCTTTAGGCACGAACAAACGGTTCCTTTTCAATAAAGCTCCATCCCTACGGATGACGAATTTCTCATTCTCCCTCTTCAACACTTGTACCTTTAATTCTGCACACTCTGGATCAAGTTCTTAAGCTTCCCTGACCATGTCTACGAAGATAGGTCTTACCTAAAAATGTGCTAGCCAAGCTTTGTGCTCACCTGCTTCCAAATTGACACCAGTTTCCCGAAGAGAAAATAGTAATGGAACGTGTAAATTTCATTGAGCCAAGCCTAGCCCCCTTTGTGTTAACTTAAGGCCCAAGGTTAGGTTATTTTGGGTAAGGGTTATTACACTGGGTGTCGGTCAGCACAACTTGATTCGGGGTCCAAGTGGACATCTCGAGTCTGGGTGTGTCACTTTTTGCATCCACGGAGCCCGGTCTTTTTGGGGTGCAAAGAGCCAACCTCATTTTTGATGCGAACCTCGATTTGTGCATCGTATCTCGCCTCGTTTTTCGTGTGCAGAGTTTGCTTTGTTTTGCATGCCAGAAGCTCACCCCGCTTTCTATCAGCTAAGCCCACCTTGTTCTGTGTGCCATGGTTCACCTCGTTCTGTGTGCATCAAGCTCACCTTGTTTTGCGTGTGTCGAGCCAACCTAACACTTATGTTTTTTTTGACAAAATTGCAAAATTTTCATTTGCGTAAAATAGTTTTCCTGAGGGTTAAGTTAAACTTTTAAGGGATTTGGAAGCAGTTACACGATATATTGAGCAAGTAGTTTTGTTTTTGTTTTTGGTGAAAGAGAGATTTTATTAAACAACTAACACAAACTTACAAGCAAACCAAAGCCCCAACTTCCACCTATAAAAAAACAAAAAAAGGCCTAAGACTAAAGACAAACAGAAAGAGAGCCCAACAAACAGTAAGGCCCAAAAAAAACTACATAGCAGCCGAGAAGCTTCCACTACCATCTCCACCATCAGCTTTACAATTCAACCAAACGATTCCCTGTCCACCACTGAGTATTGCCACACCAAACGCCACCTTCAACCCCGATATGCTACCTAAGCACAGCCATAAACAAGGGATAGTCGATGACAAAGCGAGATAAGCCAACCACTAGTATGAAGCTTGTGGAAACCCACAAGCAACATTGTTGGAACCGACATACAACAAAGAGAAAGTGGTGGTGTTGGAAACACCTGAGCCGATGTAAACACCGGAACTCTGCACATGATCTCAATCGGAAACATGGCTGAAGATCGGACCAACGAAGAGCCGGGAAGGAATACCTATGGGGGTAGAGGAATTGGCCAGATCGAAGTTAAAATTTGGAAGAAACAATAGTAGAGGCAAGGAAAAGAAAAGGAAAAGGGAGAGAAGAGGACATGGCAACCGACCCTGGCTTAAGCTAGGGCCAGTGCCACTAGAAAATCTTAAGTTTAAAAGTCTCGCATAAATAATGAGAAAGACTCTCAGCTTGAAGAGAAAATCTCTCACCTCGAAGAGGAAAAGGGACCCTTCGCAGAGTGTACTCTAGCTACCTACGCAAGTCGTTTTGTTTGTTCAACGTGTGCATGGTGAAATTAGTATTTTTTTTTTAACCAAATTGATGGAATGTGACAAAGTGAAACGAAAAATGAATTTCTAAAGAATGTAATGACGAAATTTTAATTTCAGTGGACAAAGTGAAACTAGCGTGGAGTTTTGGGGTGCATACCCAAAAATAAGAAAACGCACGCACGCACGTTGTTTGGCGCCCTTACATTGTGAGTCGGTAGATTCACCAATTTAGGCAAAGACACAAAACCCTACTCCTCCGCATCGTTCCGAATCCACCACTAATGGCAACCTCCTCCAAGCTCTCCTCCCACCTCCGTCGCATACGCCCCTCCGCCTTCAACTTCCTCCCCACTCTTTCTCACGCGCGTCAATTCCACATCCTTACAAACACTAATCGCAAAGACCACAGCCGCCACTCGCCTCCTCGCAACTCCCACGCGCTTGCTCAATCCCTCGCTTTCTCCCACTCTCGATTTATCTCTACCAGCTCTTTCGATGACTCCGATATTGATCAGCTCGGCGTCTCCGCCGTCGACCCGGCGGCGACTCAGTCGGAGCTTCTGAGTTTAGGTTGCTTTTCTGGCGAGGACTCCGTGCTTCCCGTTCGAGTGCTGATTTCGGTGCTCGACGGGTTCCATGATCTCACTGGTTTGCCATGGTGAGTGTTGATCGAAAGATTTCTGCTTTTGTTTTTGAAATGCATTGAAATTTTTCAATAAAAATCCGAAGTGCTTCCTGAAAGTGGCACATCCCAAGTGTTTTTTCCACAGAGCAATTCCAGGTGCATTTCTGCCCCAGAAGCACTTTTAACTGTCTCTGCTAACCGTTGTTGGAAGCACTTTTGGTGATCTGGAAGTGCTTGTAGCTATTTTAAAAGCACTTCCAAACAGGGTTGAGCTAATGTGGGAAAGAACTACAAAAAGAACTGAAATTTTCTTTTTGTTTTGAAGAGTAAAAGTTTGTATCTTTCTGCTAATCATTGTTTGAAACGCTTTTGGCTATCTGAAAGTGCTTTTAGCGATTTTAAAAGCACCTTCCAAACAGAAAATGTGGGAAAGCACAAGAACAAGAAATGAAATTTTTATTATCTTTTTGGTTTCAAGAGTTAAAGTTTGTATCTTTGCATTTTGTAATTTTGTAATTTCGTTTTTTTTGTGTTTCTAAATTATCACCAGGTGGATAGTTATTGGGTCCTCTACTTTGGCTATGAGAATTTCGTTGCTCCCGTTACTTATTGTGCAACTGCAAAAGTTGAAAAGGATTGGAGAGTTATTTCCCAAATGTGAGATTTAGATTTCCACTTCAATTCTTTTGTTTGCTTGTTGTAATTTCACTTTTACTCATACGAACACAAACACTACAATTATGTTCTATGCATTACTATTCTCCGACCCTGGTCTGGACTAGCATTTAGTTGAACTTTTGTGTTCTGCATTTGGTTCGCACGAAAATATCATAACTTGCAGTATGTTATGTATACTTTGTATTCATATTTGTACAATTTTGTTTAACATATATACATTTCTCATAGTGCCTCCTCCAATGCCACCACTCTTCTCAGGAAAGAGTTATATTAATCAAATTTCTCTATTTCGAAAAGAAAGAAAGGTGATTGGGTGTCCCTCGATGTTATGGTTCCTTGCGTCCTTCTCTGTTCAGGTAACTCTCTTATCTGATTTTTGGGTTTAGGGAAGAGAGAGTGATTCTATTGCTGGATGATTGATGTGAACCTAGAAAATATTTCATTTAGATAACCATCAGTCTAGTATTGTATATTGGACTCCTCATATGTGTCGAATAAATGAGTGCTAAGATGATAAAGGACACAGTTAAGTGATGAGTTTGCAAGCTTGGTGAGCGTAGCAACCTTACTAATATAGTTGAAGGGTTTGGTGAAACTAGGAGTTCTAAAGAAAAGTTTGGGCAATGGTTGGAAGAAAAAGATGTGTTAGTTTTTCTACTAGTACAAAGAATAAGCAATATGTAACGTTGAATAGAAAAGTTTTTAATAATGCTGTTTCTCTGTTTTCTAATTCATCGGCAGGTTCCATGCTTTCTCCTGTGGTTGACCACCATTCGGACTATGTCACTGGGCAATCATCATGGATTTGATTGCGTAAGGACACATATACTTTCCTTTTGGTTGTTGAAATAATGTATCTTATTTGAGTTTTATGGCATACGTGTATTTTCTCTTCTCTTTTGGCGTTGAAAGCAGATGAGCATAGAATTCATTCATTTCATTTCAGGGTGGCGCCTTGTGGTTCAGCAATTTGACTGAGTTACCTCGTGGTCTTCTTGGCTCCATCTTTCCTTTTCTGATTGCTGGTTTGCACTATGCCAATGTTCAGGTGGTGAATCATGGAATTGGTCTCTGTTGATTTCAGATTTAAATATTTTATGTTTTTATCTGTCACGATTCTCTACGTTATATCAACCTTCTCGATGATTATATTATTTATATGGTCAATCGTGTTCAAAGAACTTTAAAATGCAAAGATGATGCTCTCAGTGCCCCATTTACGGGGGCTTTGATGTGTGATTCTTATTGTACTGTGGTTGATGCAAGTCAAGAGGCAATAAGGGAAATTAAAGATTGAATGATCATTGGATGAAATTGGGCTCTTTTGCAGTGTTTTTGTAGCTGATTATATGCATTTTTGTTTTGTATATACATTTTATGATTGTAACTGATGTTTATCTCTTCAACTCATCAGATTTCTTTTAAGAATTCTTCAGTAGGAAAATCCAGCGGCCTGTTGGACACATTAGCAAACGTGAGTACATACAGTATTCTTACTAACGAGAATGTTTGCTTACTAAAGCCCCTCCCTTTCTTGTTAATAAAGGTTGTAGTCATATTGTTTTAGAGGTAGTTTTGTTTGCGAACAAATGATTTGGGTTCTCTATCTTTCTGCAGTACTACAAGCGTTATTTGGATGTTATGACCTTCCCAATATTATTTGTTACCTACTGTGTTCCTCAGGTAATTTTGTATTTTGTCTTTACAAGTTTGTGAAATTACGCTTTGATATTTTGGTTCACGTGATTGTTCTCTATGCTGGCCCCGGAAGCTTTTTGACATACACATCTACGTTATTTTGTAGGGAAGCCTAGTTTATTGGGCTACGAATAGCTCACTAAGTCTCATTCAGGTGAGTAAACTGTACTTATTTGTTTAACATGCCTTTAAGTATAGGATACAAATTTGTTACTTTGGTTGATTTCTTTTTTATCTTGGTACATGAAACTTTCTTATTTGTGCTTCTTCATAAATAAATTTTAATGGATGATGGGCTAAAACTTTTTAACTATACTTTGTAAATGAGTATCATAAAACTAGCTTCCTTCTAAATCTTGCTGTCTTCAGCAATTAGCTCTCAAAGATCCTGCTCTACGGGCAAAGTTGGGGTTGCCAGACAAGGCTGCTCCTACAGTCACTCCAAATCCTGAGGAGGCGGGTACTCCTGATATATCGCCCTTGGCTTCTCCTACAAAATTGAAGAAAATAAACTTACAGAACCTGTCCCCTAAACAGTTGCTTAATGTAAGTGTTTGTGAACTAGAAGCCCGTGCATTATCTTTCAATCCGTTGCTATTCTAGATTTTCTTACAACATCATGCCTGGGATTGTTGAGACAGCTTTCCATCCAAGTCTTATCAAAAGGCGATAAAGAAGGAGCACTTCCTGTGCTAAAGTAATTGCTCCGTACAAATCACAGTGCATATTTTATCATATCACTTGTTAATTGTGTACTGAATAGAGAATTTTTCGAAAACAGACTTGTCCTTGAGAAGGATCCGGAATATGTAAGAGCATTGGTTGTAATGGGTCAGACTCTTCTGCAGAAAAGTTTGCACGCAGAGGCCATTGAATACTTTGAGCGTGCTATCACCAAGGTCCGCATACTTGTTTGCTTTATATGGTTTTTTACTTTTCTGTTTACATATCAGTAACCATGATTAGGTTTATCTTGGGTGTGGCAATTGCCTTCACACCACGCTTTCTGATTGTAAGATTACAGACTAACAGTGTCTGCCTGCACCACAAAAAGTCAAGAAATATGATAATTCAGACGCATACTATGTCTCTGTCTCATGACAGTTTTTGTTTTGCAATTACAGCTATATTTGATTATTTTCTCCGTTCATTCATTTATTCATTCATTAATCATTCTCTTAATTACTGTACAGCTCCTCAGTGCTGGCCAGCCGACTGGAGGGGAGGACATCGATCTTCTAATTCTTGCATCTCAGTGGACTGGTGTTGCCTACATACGACAGGTGAGGCTCATTACTAAGTTTCATTTGTGGTGTGCCATGGAACTGTACTTATTTTTAGCAGGTCAAACGCCATATGTTTAATTTTCTCTTCCGACATGCTTGAGCAGGGAAAAAGTGCAGAAGGGATTGTACACCTTGAAAGAGTGGCACAACTAGAAGAGCCAGATGAACCGAGCATCAAGGCTCATTATTTTGACGGGTTGTTGTTACTTTCAAGGTATTTATCACATCGGTAAAATTGTGAAGCAAACTTGCATATTATTATGAAAAAAAAGAAACTTGCAGTCTTATTGATAACTCGACTTTCTTCCTTTCAGTGCTCTATCCAACGAGGGTCGCAAGCCCGAAGCTTTGAAGTATCTGCGCTTGGCTGCTGCTTATAATCCCACTTACAACGAATTACTCGAGCAATACGAAAATGAAAACGAGGAGGATGGCAGTTTTGTAAGTGATCTGGCGGGCAGTAGGCGACGAGACTATTGATTCTGCGTAAATCGTTGCAGAATTCGTTTTTGTTGGTTTGTTTTTCACTTCATCCTAATTTTTGTGCTCATTTTTTTATAGTTTTACTTGATCATTGATTGTATTTTACAACCGAATTTTTCCGCGTTTCGGAATCAAATAATTTGCGGAAACAATAAGTTATGAACATTTAAATCTTACAGTTATCAGTGGATTCAGACAAAAGACAGCAACTTAGTTTTGATGACAATAAAACCTGTTAATTCTTATGCAGCAGCTGATGTCATATTAGTTATGTTGGTTTTGGCTGTCAAGTTCGCTAGCTGGTAGTTAATCTTATCCAACGGTCCCAATTTGTTTATACAAATTAATTAGTGACTGAATAAGTCTTGAGAGTGCTAGAGTAGTAATTAGCAAGCATGATTTTTCTTAATTATACAAATTAAGAGGTCTTAAACCAATATGCATGCCCACGTGAAATGATATATTAAGATAATTATTATATTTAAACAAGTAAAACTGATATACTTGCTGATGCTCTCTATTATTATATGTGAGACGTAATTGCATAAGAGTTTGTCAACAATTGTATTAATTTTTCGTGTTTATAAATAACATTATGGATTAAAAATGTTTTGCAAAATTCAAAAAGTTCCTTTCAGACGAAGTCTTCGTAAAGGAGGGAGAACAGTAGAGTGGAAAAGAAAAAGAAAAAAAGCAGCAGCAGCTGCAGCTGTCAATGGATCCTAATTCTGATTCATAGCAAGCAAGGCTGCATCGTCACGTGCCCTCCATTTTGAGATATTATTATTTTTTATTTTCTTTCCGGTAATGATCTAACTCTAATTTATTTTAATTACTATATTTTGTTGTGACACCTAATAGTAATAAACTACAAGCAATACCTCGGTGATTCCACTTTCTTTTTCAATTATATATGATAATTGCTTGTCATTGCGACCCAACCTACTCGCGGTGAGGTGTATGCTAATTTTGAGAAATTTTATTTTGACCGGAACAGAAGTGGTACATCACTTGTTTTTATATAAGTGGTGGAAAATTTTATTTTTTAAGTTATTAACTTTTTAACACCTATTTTACCATTTTTATAGCAACACGTGATATACCATCACGTGTTCTAAACACATTGAAAAATCTCTCGCTAACTTTTAACCCATTGAAGATTTATAGTCTTTCTTAACGTGTTCTTAGTATAAAATAGATAATATATTACCTTGTATATACAATCAATTCGATTATTTTGTATGTGGTTTCATATCTTAGTTTCAAATTAAACAATATATCATTAAAAAAATAAACATATTAATTAATACTTAAATAATAATTAAATCATCAATTTTTTAAATTATTTAAATTTAATTTCTCCACCATTATGTTTTTTCTTAACCAAGTGTTTTTGGTGGCAAGTCATGAGTTCATACCCGAGTACATTATATGGGTTTAATAATTTGCTTTATATGTGGAACCGTGTAGTTGGCGTAATTAACGCGTAAGTCCAAAAGTGTCGGCACCATGTCACATTGGGCGGAGTTGTACCGTTTCCGAACAAGCTGATGTGACCCACACCACACTCAACAAACAGAGAAGACTCTAAAATCTGGACAGAGATTTCAGCCAGATCTCTCAGACCAAGTCTTAGGATCCGAAGATTTGAATTTTAAAAATTTGATCCAACAATTACAATTATTATTACCTTAGATTCAGAAGGACTTTCCTATTTGTAATCGTTAGATTAAATTTCAACGGTATGGATCTCCAGATCCTTAGGATTTAGTAGGGTAAGATCCGGCTGAAATCTCTGTCTCTAAAATCTATTCTTTGTTGATTTCGGGGTAGGTGTTTTAACCGTTTGATCTTTTTGTAATTTTAAATAAGGGCTTCCAGTACTGTTCATTTTAACTAAAAATCATATTTTTACACTAAAAAATTAATCATAATATTATTCACTTTACTTTTTATTTTATTTTTACCATTAAAATTCAAAATTTTGAAATACCTTTCAATAGTTTTCCTCTTAAATAAAGGGCTAAAGATTCTCCAGAAACACTTTCCTGTGAGTTCTAAGACATTCCTTTCTTTGCCCACATTTCCTTCGAAGGGTAGAACAAACTGGATCGGGCAGGAACACAAGCAAACCTCACGGAATCTACACACAAGTAACGCATCAATCAATCAAACATCTCACCACAGCCCAACCAAACCCATTATCTCTCTCTCTCTCTCTCCCTGTAGAACTCACAACTTCTAGCAGGAGATCCAATCCAACCCTCCTTCCTCCAACCCCTAATTATTTCTCTATAACTCTATTTTATCCAACGATTTGTAACTTAGTTGATTAGAAATATTTGCTTTTAAATTTTAAGTTTCGAGTTTGATTATCGCTTGAATAAGAAAAACTCTAAACAACATAAATATAATTTTCTAACGATGACCTAACTCACATTCTGTATCTTTGAATTCTCAACTCGCTCAGAAGGCATAAGTTTCAAACTTCAAACTCTCAACAGCGTCGTAAGGACAAAATCCTCAATTTTCACATCACAAGTTTCAACCAAAAATTCCCACATAAAAACATCGCAACGGTCCAAAATCGTTCACCAACCCTCCCAACCCTCCATAAATAAGGAGAAAATTTTTATTGTGATCCTACTTTTCTTGTTCCTCCCCATAAAAACCCACCATTTATTTTCTCTTAATTCCTCCCAAAAACATACAAACTTTCTCTCTCTAAATATCTAGTCTTTCTCTCTGTCTAAAAATCAAGAACAAGCTGAAAGAAGAAGAACATGCCATGTCCATCAAACAGCATCAGCTACAATGGCAGCCAGTGCGCCTGCGCAGTTGGGTACATTCTAAACCAAACCGCCGCCAGCTGCGTCCTGTTTGCCGCCAATTCCACCATCTCCACCGACGGCGGCATCAACAGCTACGCCATAAAATTCCCGGAGACCATCTTCTCCTTTGACTCCATAAAAAAGTTCACGCAATCCCAAGCCGTCTTCTTGGAGGGCACGCTTGTGTTGCTGCTTTCTTGGCTTTGCTTTTGCCTCTTCCTCAGGTTTATGAAGCTCGGCAACGACGGCCGGAGCATTTGGTTCCGGCTCCGGTGGTGGATTAGCCGATTGGATGTTTGCTTTGCCACTAGGCATTGGCTGGTAATTACTGTTCTTTTTCTTTTGTTAAACATCTTTTATTAGCTTAATCATCTTTTATTTGTTATTGTTATTGAATCTTTGAAGCAAAATATGCAGCCATTAAGGCGGATGTGTGTTAGGCGAGTTGATCAGTACGGTGTGTCTGCCCCTTTGCATCACTAAGTTCGAATTCCCTCGTCCCGTAGGGTAGTTTCGAATAGGAAATGATAGTTACACACATATTTCTCCTCCCACATACCCTCTTTGATTTTGGCCATTGGATTAAATAAATCAAACGGAAACATCGAACAGAATTAAACATGGGTGTGTGGGGGAGAAAAAAGGGGCGTGGTTATCATTTCCCTTTCGAATATCACCCTGTTAAATAGAAAAAGATGCAACCCTTAATTGTGTGGAATCTATTTATAAGGAAAATTGTGATAAATTCAATTGCCGGTTGATATGTGCTCAAAGTTCTGCTGCTGCTTGGAACATAGAAGGCAGTACTGTTTATGAATCTGAACTTCTTTTATCTTCTTTGTCCTTGGTTTCTTTGAATCTATTAAAACATCATACACATGTGTTAGTTAGAGAGCTGATCTGTTGTGGATTGTTTATGTGGCTACTTGTTGAAGGCACTTTCAGCATTCAATTTTATTAGATTATGACAGCTTTATAAGTAGATTTGTTTTCCATCCTGATGGCGAGTTATGCAAATGGATGTTAACTAACTTCATTTGTGGCACAGGATGATCAAAAGGTAGTTAAGAAACGAAAAACGGAACTTGGTGGAATGTTCTCAATGGCAAGTTGGATTCTCTTCGTTGGCTTGTTTGCTGCGTGAGTATTTTGATATAATTCTTTCGAACTGGCACGTCTTTCATGCTGTTTTTATTAGCTGTGCAGGTTTTTTCTGGTTTCTATATATTAGCTTATATTTACTTGGATTTTCAGTTTCTTCACAGGTTGCTCTACCAAACCATATCAAATAGAAGTATCGAGGTGCATAATGTCAGAGCAACAAATGCACCTGACTTGGCTGCCTTCAAGAATGACATGGAATTTAACATAACCGTGGTTTCTAGTATGAGCTGTTCAAACTTACGTGATCTTGGTACTTTAGTTACTGGAAATCCTGGCTTCATTGACTACAGAGTGGCTCCTCTGTCAAAATTCGGGAACTACTTGTGTCGGAATACGAGTATAGGACCAACTATAATTCTTAGGTGCAGCAATTGTCAACCACTTGAAGACAATTTGTACATTTCATGGCAGTTCGTCGATCTTCCTAATAATCCTGCTGCTGCTGTTGGATTTCAGTTCAATCTCAGTACAAGGAGTCATGCTAGTAAAAAACATGTCAGTTTTGTTAGCGGAACCCTAAAGAATGGAAGCAGTTTTGATGATACACCAGTTACATTCAGAGGAAATACTACAAATATATTAAAATTTAGTTTGTTTCCCCGGATATACCATAATCATCATGATCTAAGGCTTATCCAACCTCTGTTTCATGAGTTTGTTCCGGGTTCATTTTTCAGTGATGAAGGTCAGCTCCGAGCGTCCCTTGAAAATTCTAAGGATGGAATGCTCAACACTACATTATATATCAACTTTCTCTCTGCCTATATCGTGGGGATAGATAACCAAAACGTTTTGGGTCCTGGTGAGTATTCTACACCAATTAAAACGACATCAAAGATGAATGATTTTCTCTTTACGACATCTTGGTTTAAGTTTTGATGATCTAATATTTTTGTCCACCTTGACGTGTAGTGAGCTTCCTTGCGGAACTTGGTGGCCTGTATTGCATCTGTATTGGCATTTTTTTCTACCTTTTGGTGCAAGTACGTTACTTGATCTTATAGCTTTGTGTTTTTTCTTCGTCACTGTGTGTATGTTTGATTATAATGTTTGTGAAGAAGGAAAGCCTAATACAAAATCAGGCTGAAAAAACTATGTTCATGTTTTCATAATTTTGTTGTTTACTTTTGCAGTTTGAGTTCAGGATAAAAAAACTCCGGAATGAAGATACCGTGTTGCGGAGGATCAGAAATCGGCGAAAAGCTCAAGAGCGCTGGGATAAAGTAATTTCTTTCATATTTTACCATTTTATTTAACTTCATATTAATCTGACTTCATATAATAATACTCATTGATACATATGCTTTGAACTAGTTAAGGAAATATGTGATGTATACATGGGGCTGCAAGGCATTGGAGGATTATTACGAGAGCATAAACGAGGAATCAGGTTGTGTGAATTGTGGTACACAATCAGTTCATCAAAATGGATCGTCACATAAGCGAAGGCAACGAGAAACGGTGATTAGTTTTAACAGGAAGCTCAGCTTGCCTAAGAAGGTAATGTTTTACGTTTCTGTCTTTGTTTAGATCCATGGGGACCTGGTTTCTAGGTTCTGATTCATAATGTTTTAGTACTTTCTTCTCCAAGAAAGTTACTTTTTTATTTTTAACTTTTCATTGATCTCGCAGACTCTGGTTCAAGAGTGCTCTGACACTGTTGGGAGTGTGAAGTCATTTACACCGGGAACTACACCAAACCCGGAAGAAAGTTCATCGCATTCAGCAGTCAGACCTGTGAGTCACTCTTCTTGTTTCTTTGTCTGAAAGCATGGATATTATTGGTCTAGTTTCTCTTTAATGTGAATCTGTCCACCCTGTTATAGCTTTCACTAACCGCTTAAACCCGAATTTTGGGAATTCAAATCACTAATTGAGAATTCCGACTCATTTATACAGTTTTTCGAAATGTTGTATTTCTTACAATTAGATCACTCATCAGTGAACGACATTTTAAATTTGTATATCTCTTTGAACCTTTTGTCTTCCAGCCTCTGCAAATGGAATCGCTTGGCTCTACGAAGGACGGAAAACAGCAATTTGTTCATGCGTCTAAAGAAGATTCCTCTCCACCTAAAGCCTTAACTCCGACAATTGATGATATCATTCCTCCACCTCCTTCACTAGGTAAGAACTAAACTCATGAAGTATAGCTGTATAGGCCACCATCTTGTTTTGTTCCATTCAAGGTCGGAGTTTTTTGCATTTTAAGTTTGTATCTCTGGTGAAATGATTGGATGAAGGACAAACTTTGGTGGTTCCCATGGTGTGTATTAAGATGAAGTGTAATCTTCAGATACAAGCAATTGTTGAGTTTCGATTTCAAACCAGGATTGCTGGTGACTTGAATGAAATTATATCGAATAGAAGCAGATTTGAACTAGACTTTGCTGATTCCGTGCTTACCTTAAATTGTTATTTCACTGCAGAATTGAAGGATGCTTCTGAAATGGATATGTCTGATGTTCAAAAGAATCTTAGAAGTTTGCACGAGTACAACGTTTTGTTGAGGGAAAAGTTAGTAGCTACGCAGTCTTTGTTCCATTCTTTAGCTACAAAATCCTCACCTTCGTAACAGAAAGCCAGACGTAGCATTGCGCAGCATCTCAACTACACATCTCCCTACTACTACATTTTTTTGGGTACGATGTTTCATTAGGGCAATATCCGTGGATATAATTTAATTGATTTATTAGTTACTCGTGTGAAATAGTTGCTTGTGGAGTCTTAACAGTTACAGCATGTTAATGCAAAGTGATTAGCTTATTACAAACTTTAAGCCGGAAGCTGCTTAAGTAAGATGAACTTGGTGACCAGTTACTGTGCTAGCTACTTATTTCTTCTTTTTCTTGATCCTCTCTTCTTACTGCCCAACCTTGTCTCGTCTTGCTGGATTTTCGCTGTGTTGCTCACGGGACTGTTGTCTTCGTCTTCCTTTTCGTATTGCTCTATGTATTCATTGTAATCAGGATTGTAAGCAGCAGCCATCCGCAGATACTTCAAAGCTTCAGCCTTGCGATCCACATTGGCCAAAAAGCTGAAAAGGAGAAGCCAAGTCATTCATTAATAACGTGCAAGAGTAGTAATTTTCGCACCCCCGTTTTCTTCAAAGGCTAAAAAAAGGCAAGGCGGTGCAAAATCATTTTCCATAACGTGAATTTTACTGATCTGATAAATACCTTGAAAGCAACAGGAGAGCGTCATAGTAATGAGCTTTGCCTCTTGGTTCATCTGGCACTTCCATTTTTGCAACTCTTTCAAGGTGTACCATCCCTTCCGCAGCTTTTCCCTGTCCAGTTATAAAAATCGAACTTATCGATCGTGTAAATTGTAGCAATGGTTCCCTAATTTTTAAAAAAAATTAGAGCAATGGTCCCTTAACTAAAAATCTATTACCATTGGTTCCTCAACTTATCAAAACGTGTAGCTATGGTCATTTTTGTGAACTTCGTTAGAATTTTGTCAAAATGAGTTATGTTGGAAGAATCATTGCTACAATTGGGTTAAAGTTAACAGACCATTTCTTCAATTAGGTTAAAGTTGAGGGATTATTTCTCCAATTGAATTAAAGTTGAGGGACTTTTGGTAATGGATTTTTAGTTGAGGAACTATAGCCGCACTTTTTGATGAGTTGAATGACCAATGATAATGGATTTTTAGTTGAGGAATCATTGCTCCAATTAAGTTAAAATTGAAGGACCATTACTACAATTTAGTTGTCGCAAAATGGTTTTCTTTTTCGCAAAATGTTTTTTTTTTCTTTTTTTTTTGATACAAAGGTATTGAGGGAGGGGAAATCGATCTCGAGACCTCACCTGCCGTATGTAGGCTACTCCAGTCCACTGAGATGCAATAATTAGAAGATCAACGTCCTCCGCTCCCGTCGGCCGGCCAGCACTGAAGAGCTGATGAGAAGTTAAGAGAGTGATTAGGAATAAATAAACCCTATAGCATGTCAATCAAATATCGACGATATATCAATCAAATATGTTCCCGACCTTGGTGAGGGCACGCTCGAAGTATTCAGTAGCCTCTGCATTCAAAGTTTTCTTCAACAAGGTCTGACCCGTGATAATCAATGCTTTTACATTTTCAGGATCCTTCTCAAGCGCAAGTCTGTTTTTTCAAGAAAATTAACAGACAATTAATTTTATGATCAAGTACGCAAATTTTGTGATTAATTTGAACAGAACAACTTACTTTTGCATATGAAGTGCTCTATCTGTATCTCCCCGTGATAAGACTAGGACTGAAAGCTGTGTCGATGAATCCCGAGTACGTTGTTGTGGCCAGAACGGAGTTCCGTTGGTTAGAAAATCTTCGAAATGTATGAAAACCGAGAACGAAAACTGATACGAAGTTTGCAGTTGATAACACTGTTAACACACTCACATTAAGAAGCTCAATAGGGGACAGGTTGTGTAAATTTATTGTCTTCATTCTTGTAGGAGAAGACAAGGGCGATATTTCGCGAGTACTCAAATCCTCAGAGTTTGCAGCGCCTGTAGGAGCATCTATGCCTGGAAACCGCAACTTTGCCCGCACAGCAGGATTTTCGAGAGTTAATTTCTGAAAATGTAAACGAACTAGTTATCAAATGTCCCCATATTAGAAAACATAAAAAAAAAAAAAAAAAAAAAATAGAAACACACACACACACAGAGTGACTCTTACCTGGATGATGCTTAGTAAGCTACTCGTACCCCAAAAGACGAGGCTTCCCTGCAAAACAAAGTGTGTGGTTGAAATTTCACATAGGGTTCAATATTATGAAGCCTAATTTCACATATGGTTCAATTGAATCACCTGAGGCATAGTGCAGCTGACACATAATATAGGCACGGTCAAGAAAACCAAGTAATCTTGGTAGTACTGCAGTAAGATAGAGAGAGCTCCAATCAGTTGCAGTTCATTAGAAAATCGATGTTTTCAACCGCTGAACTGCAGTAAGATATAAACCACCAAGATGTAACTTTTTTTTTGCTGTTATGTCTACTCACTTTTCCCATTAAACCATACATGTCCGTCCTTTCTCCAACCGTCGGGAAAGAAATCTAGCAAGTCATGAGATCAATGTCAGCTTCACTCTTAAGATTGAGAGCTACGTATAACTCGTAAGAATAATTAGCCACAAGCGTCTTTCGTTTGATAAGAATCGGTAAAAGTACCTGAACGGAAGCAAAGTGCAAACCAGCAATCATGAAAGGAAGGACGAGGCCTAAAACACTATGGGGAGTTTCTGTCAAGTTTTGGAACCATAAAGTGCCTCCCTGAAATGAATCCACGCAATCACACGTTCATCTGCTTTCAACGTAAAAGAAAAATTGCATCATAAAATCGATGATTTAGATAAGTATGTCGCTGCCTTACGCTATCAAACCCGGGATGATTATCAAGTGACATGTTCCTAGTAGTATTGAGCCACAGGATAAAGCAGGGAGCCTGCAGATGAGTGGAAGAGAGGGAAACGTCATTAGTTGTGAATACTTGTTTATATAACATTAATTAACTTCTGCAACAACACAATATCCTTTGTCTTAAAAAGACCAACATAGCTTTGTCTTAACCACACAGAAAACTTCGCATTCCTACATTCACAGTCAAGGTTTCTAACTCTTTGGAAACTTGAAATTGATCTACTTCTAGCGTTATCCTTCCTTTCTTATCACTTGATTTTCAACTGCCAATCTCATATTCTAAGAAAAAGAAAATAGTACTACGCGGCGTCCTTTCAAGGGATCACATGGTAATGTATGATCATTTCTCCTCCAATATTAAGTGCAAAGAGGAAAATAGTGCTACGCGGCGTGCTTTCTAAAAGTATGGGATAAAAGAAGGTTACATGGACTATGGGGTATGCAAGGATCCATAGAAATGAGGGACATCCTACTGCCTTGCTTTTCTTGTAAAATCGAGACATTTGACCCATATAACTCTTTCCTGAGAAGGGTGGTGGCAGGGGAGGAGGCACTGCAACAAAAAACACACACGAGACAGATATTGTTTCGGGTAAAACCCAACTTCAGCATTCGATCTGCAAAAGATAACTGCAAGAGTAGAGCTGCAAAACAAACGAATGAATTGATCAAGGCAAAGTTCAGAACTTACATTTGGGAAGTAACCGTGCAATCCTTGTCAACTTGTTAATTTGCAGCATACGAATGGGGAGCACAGTCATTTTCATAGCCAAAGTTGAAAAAGCAATTACTACCCACCTATATATAAATACATAATTCAAAATAATCAAAATTTACAAACATAAATTACAGTTATTAACAATATCCTATATATCGTCCTAAGTTACATTACTGAAAATTAATTTATTTTCTCCTCGGGATTCCAACACTACAAATTATGGACTTGTAGCTCAAGTGGTTAATAACATTTAGATTGCATGTAGCATAACGTTTAAATGAAATGAAGATTCACCATGGTCATTGGAATTCCAACTTTACAAATTCGGGCTTGTAGCTCGAGTAATTAAGAGCATTTACACCGCACGTAAGATGTATAACCAAACAAATAGCAAAAATTGGAAGTGAAACGAATATTCACCATGGTAAGCCGGTGAGCTGATGGAACCAGTCGAGCATCGAAATCAGCTCGTCAATTGGAAGCAGCGACTTTTCGGCACCAGAATTCAAAACCCCTGTCGACTGAGTTGCCGCCGATTCAGCTGGGACGACTCCGAGACCGAGTCGATCGAGACAGGGAGTGTGAGAGGAGAAAGTGCGAGTTGGGGCAAACGGGAGAAGGAGAGGGAGAGGGAGAGGGAGAGGGAGGTGGGACTGACGCGCGTGAGGCTGAGCCGCAGAGAGAGTGGGGATCATCAGCTGCAAGTTGAAGACGGCGGAGGCCCGAGAGCGACGGAGGAGGTGGTGCGCCAACGCCATCGAATCGCCTCCCTTACTAGCTTCGCTTTGACTGTAAATTGTACTCTCCGATTGTTATGCACGTATATATATTTGGCATGGCCATGCAAGTACAGATCGACTGTAAAAGCGCGATCATGCAGAAAATGGTAAGTTGTAACCAGAGTTGAGTTAAAGGTAAACTCTGGTTAATTTGTTGGGCCAACCAAAAAAAGGGCGTGTACATTTGAAAAAACCTTTTCTTTTCGATACAACAACATTTAGTGAACAAAATGCCTTCTGAAGTGCCTGACCTAAATGCTATTTTTAAGGTTTTATTTCTACACCCCTCCCCCTCCCCCCTTTCTCTCTCTCAAAACACCCCAAACTCAACCCAACATATGCTAAATGTGTGGGTTAAAAGCTAAAAACCAAACAAAAGCCAAATTCCCTTCAGGATTTAGCCCAGAAAATGGTGTGGGCACCACCAATGGAGCAGGATTTATTGAATTCAACGGTTGAGATCGAATATAATCAAATCTAATAGTAAAAACAAGATCTAACGGCCCAAATTTAAATCCAACGGCTAAAATAACTAAAAAAAATTATTTAACTCAAAATTCACCCAAATTTAATGATTTTTCAATATTTATAAGAATTTAAATATTTTTAGGTTAAAATGTTCATAAAATTAAATTATGATAGTGTACATAAATTTTTTTTTAAATTACTTTAAAAGAAAAAATTAGCCTAAATTTATTCTTTAATAATACTAAAAAAATTTAAGCCAGAAGAGTTGGAGCAAAATTTTAGATTTTGGCCTAAAAATTGGAGATGATCTCATGAACTGCCTTCAAAAGAAATTCGCAGATAGGTTCGTTATAGGCTTATAGCTCACACAACTACGTTCGTTGTAGGCTTATAGCTCACACAATCGAGCCTAGAACAGGGTTCCGGCGGGCCAAAATGCCCCTTGAATGTCCATGATCATGTTCTGTAAGCTTATGGTGCGGCTAAATGACACGAAATTAAGTTACGGCATAGGTTTTGTAAATCTTCGCAAAACCGGTTATAAATTGCGAGTTAGCTTACAGTTTTATTGAAACACACAAATTTTGAGTTTTTGGATGATCCTGTGCTCGAGAAGTAGGGAAATGTCAAGCCAACAAATACAAAAGGACACGAAATAGAATCAAGGTGGTAAGCAAAATCTTTGAGTAGCGATTTTTTCCTTCTTGCACCACCCATACCATACAGATGCGTCCCGTAATTAACACAACCTATCTTCGACACTGGCAGATGCTTAAGAATCTGCTCCTTGTATAGGCTGGCTGCGAGGAAAATCGTTGTCCATCCATATAGAACTGAGCAGCTGCCAGCGTTCTACCCTCAAAAGGTTTCCCTCCTTTTGCATGCATCTCCTCACATGCCATCAGAACTCTCAATACATGCCCATAAACCATTCACTTGACTGAAGACCCAAGATGCTCCGGATCTTAGTTGTACTGGGTACACGATAAATGAAACAGCATACCGGTATACTTTTCTAAACACTTCAACCGTTACTCTGTGCTATCATGCTTTACCTCGCTGCATTTTGAGAGAGAATCATTCTTCCCTGAACGCATTCCCAAGGCATTAGCAAACATCCTCTTTGCTGCTCCCACCTGCTCCCTTTTGATGTATTGCTCATCTACACCATGTCCGTTTCTTCCATTATTGTCACCTTGTTTCTGGGATATCTCCTTTTCACTTCGGGTGAGAGGTGAGCCACTATTACTACGGTGGTTGTTTTTCACTTCACCACACGAGTTCATATCTCCGTTCGAAAGGGAGATGGTATGCTGAAAAGATTCTGCAGTCAAATTAGCCTCATCAGCAACCTTGCCTTGAACATTTAATTCATCAGTCTGCCCTCCAGAAGCTTTGCAATCCTCATGAGGGGAACCCTGACTGGATGGATTGATTCTCTGGCCTAGGGCATGTGCTATCATCCGTCGGGCAACAACAGGGTCACTACGTGGCTTCTGCCTGACAGATTCTTTCACCTCGCCCAAGTCGCTTGAAAATATTCGCTCGCGAGCAGCCAAATAAGCTGCTTCTCTCTCCTCAAGTGAATGGTGAAGCAAAGGTGGTTTTTTCCTCAACACTAGAAACAACAAAAAGGTTTCATTTAGCATGGATAGAAGGACGGTAGGGAGCTAAGATGAAGACTTCTATAGCCTACATCAAAGCACATAGGACTGATTGACCTAATCTATTACGAAACTAGATATCGAACCACAGGTAGCATATCATGAGACTGCACAATTATACAATGGACTTTAAAATTAATACGAAACACAAAAACTAGCAGTAGATACAAGTGCTCATTGCAGATGGAGCATTTTAATTGCAGTTTATATTACACAAGATACAGCAAGGATGGAAAATAAGGCAAAATTCAGTACCTGGGCGGCTTTCTGTCCTCTTTAATAATAGGTGCGAAGTCGTTGGAGAATCAGTCTCATCATACTGCCACAAAATATCACCAACAAGGATGGAAGGTCTGCAAGCCAAACACACTGATTAACAGAACACAAACAGGGACGCTCGACTGAGAATTAATTCCATTAATCTTAAACCACTAATGTTGCCCAAATCACCCTTAGTTTGCTGACTTCAAATTCCGAAGGAAAAACAAGATTTTTGTAGCTTAGTTCAGGCTGAATAAATCTGATACCTATTCTACATGCGTTGTATTCTAGTCAGACGAGTTTCTCTAATGGTATATATCAAAAAAGCGAAATTACATCGAAAGTCCAGCTCTTGTACCCTAACCCTTTAACTGGTCCAGTAGTAGTTTTAATGCTACAGTTTTCAAACTTACTTTCAACCGTCCCCACTCATGCCAATCTACCATCTACAATTCATTCTCTACCTTTCCTGCCATACCCTTCATCAACTAGACAATGTTCACATTCTACCGTTCATGAAAACATTTAGGAGTCTGGTAAGTACAGATTGTCAGACAAGATACCAGTCTTATTTTAACTAATGTATTTTCGTCCCAAAATGCAACATTTCCAACGCCTCGATATTATAATCGAAAACTGGAGCAGCAAGTGAAGGAAAACTTTGATGTCAAGATATTTCTGTTATGTTTGTTAGAATCTTCACATACATTGAAGTCTCTGGGCATCGCTCCAAAATTAAGTGGCGGTCATCTCCTTCACCAACAGATTCATGGGAAAACCTATCAAAAAGCAATATATGTTTACTACCAACAGAAGTCAAGTACATATGACTTAAAACATTCTTCAACAAAAACATTATTTTCCCAACAATGAGGGGAAAACAATGAGGGGAAAAGATATGACACAAAACGTAGGATCAAGAAAAAGAAAATACCCAAATATATCTGCAAGACGATGCAAGAGAAGACGGTTGTACGAGCTCATTGGTTCCAACTCCAAGACCCCACTGGAACTGCAACCCAAATTTTTTTTTATTGTTTATATTAGTATTCGAAGCACAAACAATGATTACAAAAGACCTTAATAAGATTTAGTTTCACACAAATCTTAAGCTCTACATCAAAATAACAAGAATCTACTGCGAGCTGTAGAATAAGATAAAAGACGAAAACATCAGTAACACCCGCCAGCAGATTTTACGGAATACCAATTGAAACTAATGATTTCTCCAGTTTTACCCTAGACATACCAAAAAGAATTGCATCACTCCTGCTCGATATAATCTTAAGATTTTACTGTAAAACTAATCTCATAAGAGCAGGCAATGTTAATAACATTTAGCGGTTTGTCTTACATGCCTGGTATCAATCTGAAGGAAGTCCACCAAGGCCTCTTCCACTGAGAGAATAAGATGCTTGCAAGTAAGATTGTCTTTGACAAGAGAAGCCAATTCCTCAACCTGCATTTCGGTAGCATTGTAGTATGAAATATCGAGATTCAAACACGAACTCTGGCACTCGAAGCAAATCATATTCATACAAATTATTTATGTAACAGCTCTCTCAAAATTATATAAACTAATATGTGGCTATTTCAATCCTAGAAAGCCAGTGCGCTCGGTTTTGCCTAAGTTTAAAAGCTTAAAGTAAATAAATTTTAAATAAACTGATAGATAAATTTAACTTTGAAGCACTCAACTCTCAAAATTTCTAATTTTTAGTTCATAAACCAAGAAATTAAACACAAATTTTCGGAAAATCAGCACTTCCCAGAACACATAATTGGAGCATCATTAAAATTATACAACTTCTTTCTAAACTCATAGTAAAATCGAAAAGAACAAACAACAAACAACATTAAAGCTAACGAAACACATACCATGGCGAACTGGGTCAAACTCATGTTGTCGAAAAATTGAATCAAATTCCAGGAATTTCTCAGTCTCTCTAGAGAGAGAGAGAGAGAGTCCAGAGATAGAGAGAGAGAGAGAGAGAGAGAGAGAGAGAGAGATAGAGAGAGGGAGACGGAAACTTTCTCCTCGTTGAGATTTTGCTTCAGCGGTGCTGTGTGTTGGGTCGTGGGTTCGTTCCACCCTTATCAATCTGTCGTCGTACTTATGTTTGTCGGAGGAGGGCAGAACATTAAGCAATAGTCCTACCCATCTCAGGGTCGGCCAACGTGACCAATCAATGATAACCCACCACCTACCTCTTGTCCTTTTTTGTAATTACAACTGCTTCATTTGCGCCGCTCCAAACTTTTTTTTTTTTTTTTTCATTCAATTGGAATTTTAAAATATTTTAATTCTTTTAATGGATTTAGGAGTATTCAATCATGATTTTAAGTGAGTTTCTAAAATTCAAGGTGTTTTCAATTAAAATTTTAAAATAGTTTATTTAAATCCTTAGAAATCCGAGTGTATTCAATTAAGATTTTAAAGAAGTTTATAACATTTGAGATGTATTCAATTAGAAATTAATTTTAAAGAATTTGGGAAAGTTGAGAAATTAGAGAGAATTGAAGAGATTTCGTAGTGTACTTTAAGCATCCACAAATCTCAGCTCTCCTCATAAGATTTCAAGGGAATTGAATCAAAATTTTATTTGGAATCATTACAAATCAATCAAACTCCATAAAAATTCATGGATTTATAAATTTATTAAAATTTCTCGAATTTTCAATTGAATACACCCCGAAGAAAAAATGTTGAACACAGGCAGCAAAAAAAGCATACGTTCTTCACGCGCCACTCGTAGGGGCAAAATTTGAACTCGGATGCATAGAGAAAGAACATCCGGTTTAGCTTTAACTAACATGGCTATGTTTATACGTTAATTGCAATGTTAACAACTGTGACAACCCGTTCCAAATTTTACATTTTTAATTTATTTTAAAAGCGTGAGTTTACGAAATTGCCCTAGAGGCACGGACTTTGACTTCTGTTGACCATTGACTTGAGAGATGTGGGACTTATTCTTTTAGCATATCCTCGTAGTACTCATTGGTACGAACGTATAGGCGAAAACCGTTTGCGAGTCCGAATTATAACGGTATAGTTACGGACGTTCGAAATTGGTTATTCAAGGTGAGTGTTTATTTAAATTAATGGAAGCCCAATCAGAAAGAAAGAAGAAAAGAAAAAAAAAAAAAAAAAAAAAAAAAGGGAAAAAGGCTTCCCGTGCACCCATACCCGCACCACCGCGAGGCCATATTCCAAGGCCGATTCCGGCCAACTCCGGTGGAGTTTTTCGATGCCACCACCACCATTTTGAAGCTCTCATTCCCCTCTACAAAACCCACCCAAGAACCACCTTGATTGACCACGGGATGTGGAGGTTTGAGGCCACGAAAGTTGACGAAAATCAATGGTGCTCCGGCCACCCTTCTCCATTTTCCGGCAAATCGGCAAAGCGATGGCCGATGCCACCACTTGGGCTTTGTAGCCCATCATCCCAGGAGCAAAACCCAACCAACCTTGACCCCGTTGGACCACCGTAGACGACGAATCGACGTCGGGAAGTTTTAGGCACCCGCCGGCTTCGTGGGCAAAATTGACCATTTTCCGTCCACTTTTGGACTTCGTGGCAGGGACCGATCATTCAGGACGCCTCGATGCGCGTGCTAGAGTAGTATAGCGTGGACTCCAGGTGAGTGGATCTTTTCCTTTTTATTGTGCATATTATTGAGAGTTCTATCGACAACTTTAAATTGATTAGGCATATTACTTTCATATATAATTATTGTGAATGCTTGACGTACAATGTGAACTACGAATGGCTTGATCCCTGTTTAGGGTACGTAGGCAGTCTAACGAGACGTTAGATGCAGCCATAAAATATTTGAGACAAAAGCCTTGCTTGGGAAATTGAGTAATGCGAAGGAAATTGGTAAAGACAAGTTTTAGTTTTGTGAATTAGTTAGTTAAATTAGAGTTAATTGGATTGTTATGGATAAGTATCCCTGAAAATAAGTAGTTTGGGAGTATGGCGTTATTGATTGTACACTTCACACCATATTGTTTATAATTGAAAATGCTACGACATGGTTGAGTAGTAGATTGCATCATGATATATCCATATGTATATTACTTGCTTATAATTATTGGGAATGCTTTCAAGTGCAAAGGTGAACTCAGGACACCCAGGTAAGTTCAGGTGAGTTTATGGTATTAATTGAATCGATTGAGTTATAGCATGACTACAGTTATGAGTTAGGCAACTTCGATACTGTCGTACTGGTTGCCATGTGCTGCACATGATTGATGAGATATGGATAAGTCGTACAGGTCACTATAGGTGACTCCGACTTATATGCTAGCCATGATTGATGAGATATGGATAAGTCGTACAGGTCACTATAGGTGACTCCGACTTATATGCTAGCCATGATTGATGAGATATGGATAAGTCGTACAGGTCACTATAGGTGACTCCGACTTATATGCTAGCCAGGATTGATGAGATATGGATAAGTCGTATAGGTCACTATAGGTGACTCCGACTTATATGCTAGCCATGATTGATGAGATATGGATAAGTCGTACAGGTCACTATAGGTGACTCCGACTTATATGCTAGCCAGGATTGATGAGATATGGATAAGTCGTACAGGTCACTATAGGTGACTCCGACTTATATGCTAGCCAGGATTGATGAGATATGGATAAGTCGTATAGGTCACTATAGGTGACTCCGACTTATATGCTAGCCAGGATTGATGAGATATGGATAAGTCGTATAGGTCACTATAGGTGACTCCGACTTACATGCTAGCCAAGATTGACGAGATGTGGATAAGTCGTACAGGTCACTATAGGTGACTCCGACTTATATGCTAGCCAGGATTGATGAGATATGGATAAGTCGTATAGGTCACTATAGGTGACTCCGACTTACATGCTAGCCAAGATTGACGAGATGTGGATAAGTCGTACAGGTCACTATAGGTGACTCCGACTTATATGCTAGCCAGGATTGACGAGATGTGGATAAGTCGTACAGGTCACTATAGGCGACTCCGACTTATATACTAGCCATGATTGATGAGATACAGATAAGTTGTACATGTCATTTTAGCTGACTCTGATTGATATATCATTTTGTATTGATTTAGTTCATTTGGCCTACTTATTGATGTATGGTGGAGTTGATGGCGAACCGTGGTTTTGGTCATTTCCGAGTATGGTTTGGATATATGTATATATGTTGTACTGTCTTACGGAAAACGATACGGGTTGTACATTTAGGGGCATTACTTTTAGAGAGGTAGTAACTTTGGGAAGCTTGGTTTTATTGCTTACTCACACCTTCTCTTTGGTGCCCTCCAGGTTTTAGCTGCTGAGTTTGTATCGACAAAAATCTGTGGCGAATCTTAGTATTGATGGATATTTTTGAGGGTATGATTCTTACTCACATTACTGTACCTTACTTATGCTCTGACATCGCGCGTGAAATGGGTTCGCTCCCACTTGTAGCGCACTCTGGTATTTAGACACTTTTAGTTTCAAATTTAATCACTTTTTATGCACTATCACATTTTATGGCTTCGTCACCTTCCAGGTGTCGGCCAGCACAGCTCGATTCAGGGTCCAAGTGGACTTTCTGGGTTGGGGTGTGTCAACAACAGTCACGTTTACGAAGATTGATATCATCCATGGTTTGTTGGATTCAGAGTCCGAACACAAGGAATGGTTATAACTTATACATATGAAGTTGTAGTTCAAAAGGTTATAACTTATAAGCATTTTTCTAGCACCCGAAGTCGCGTTTGGTTTCTCCTTCCACAACGTCCATAAATCTCCATTCACCATAAGAACAAGAGAGACCTTTTGCATATCTACATACAAACAGTTTACGAGCACATTGCCTTCTCCAATAGTTCCTGCAACTCCCCGCTTTTGTATGCATCTGCAAACAACATTGTTTCGTCAAGATTTCGTATTACAAACTCTAAACCAAAATACACATCTGTACTCGGCATAAATAATCCATCAATGGAAATTACATCTAAACCTAATTTCGTCATTTAACTCTCAGTTCTGTTCATTGTACTTAATTTCAGAGTAGAGATGAACCGCAAGTTTGCAGTTAAGACGCTCACATACATAATAACTTTATCACTCTGTTAGCTGCTAAATTTGGAGAAATGTAAACACTACAATAACTTCGATTAACTTACCAACAGTGATGTCACAGCCTCCGAAAAACTCTCCTTCAATGTAGAGTTGAGGAAATGTTGGCCAACTCGAATACTCCTTTAATCCCTGGCGCAGAAGTTCATTTTCTAGTATGTTTATTGTTTCGAAGGGTACATTCAAAGACCTCAATATCTGTACGCAAGTGTTAGAAAAACCACATTGTGGAAAATCCTTTGTTCCCTTCATAAATAGAACCACTTTGTGTGAAGTAACAACTTTGTCCAACGTATTCTTCAGCTCCGGAGTTAATGCTGCACACACAGGGAGGGAGGAATGGGGGATGAGAGAGTTGGTACCTTGTGAAACTTCAAGAACGTGGACACCTTACAAGAACTCCTGACACTATAATTCAATCCCGAAACTTTAAAATAACAGGTGCATAAACGATAAATCTGCTTTCCTCGACCAGTTGCTAAGGAAGGTCTCATTCGATATACAATCTAAACAAAAGTGAATCGAGCAAAAAGCGAACATAACAATCATGTACTCCACTTTGGACAAAAGTTAACAATCAAATGTTCGACAATCTAATGTTTACATTTATCCGAGCATGACACCAACCAAGATCCTTATGATAATTGTGAACAATTCGCAAACAACGTCTCCTTTTTTTTCGAGGGACTCCAAGTTGATAAATTTAGCATAAAATCCTACTGCCAATCAATTATTTTACTAGAACAACGCAACAATATTACTACTACATATGTTGACTTTAACCAAAAAATGGATTCTTGTGATCATCGACAAGCAAGAAGCATCCTAATTTTCGATATACCGATTCAATGACATCAAATTCAACACAACCTAAATCCGAAAACCTCAAAAATCACAACAAAATCTGCCTAGATTTCCCCAACATAAACAACCAACAAGCAGACATCAAAGTGCAAAATTAGAGCAATAAAAAGCAGAATAGTAGTGAGAGAAGGGTGGGTGATGTACCGGCGGAGCATCGGATAGTGAGGATCTTCTTCGAAGAGAGCTTGGGTCCGAAGGACGAGTGATTTGAAAGAGAGACGGCGGAAGGAGGGCGGGGACGCCGAGAGGCACGGTGGAGGTGGAATGAAGCGAGGGAATTGGTGGGGGCTCTGCTCGCAGCTCCAGCGAGAGGGAAAGGGGCAGATGGTGTCATGGTTTTTGAACCCAAGGTCCCAACACACCACATCTTTGGAGGACTTTGCTCTCTCTCTTCCGGCACACTGGAAAATCCCTCAAAGACGTATAGACAGTCCGGCACTCTGATGAGTTCTATTTCATGGTTGCGGAATTTAATTATTTATTTATTAGGATAAGAAAATATTCACCTGAAAAAAGGAGAAATACACGTTTATATAGAAAAGACGTTATAATTATTATTATTTTTTTTTAATGGCAACAGCTGGTGGCTTCGGCAAAAAATCAGAATGTGACGCGTGAAATATAGACTTGAAATTCGTTCTTATCCATTAGACATCTCATGATGGTTAAAAAGAAGTTGTAATTTATAAAATAATATTGTTAGTAACCTTTTTTTTTTTTTTTTTTTTGAAGAGTTTGGTTAAAATTAGATGTCAAGCTCAATACTCTTATTATATGTTATTGCTACCTGATACATCATAACCGTTATCCAAGTTGGTGCAGAAAGAAGTTGATATTTGTAAAAATGCAAAAGAAATCAAGCTTTTTTTTTTTTTTTTTTTTTTTTGAGTTGGTAAAATATTTTTCCTTGACATAACATTCAGATCACAAAAGCCCTCTCCATGCTGAAATGCGGAGAACCTTTTCGGTCCGGACGACCGGACCACGCGAAAGTTAGGCAAAGGCCACGCCACCGATCGTCTGAACTTAATAATTTCTCTTACATGTGAAAAATTCTTGAATTCGATTGCCAGATCACGTCATCTGTTCAACGCTCCTCCTAAAAGATGAACCTTTATATTTGGTCTCACCCAACCTTACATTAGTCCCACACGCGAATGAGTTTCCACCAAGAAATAGTAAAGGAAGGCCTTGTTATCTTAACAATTGTTACAAAATTCGAGAAAAAGAAAATGTTATTAAGAACTTTGTGAACAAAGTATACACATAGCTTGGACGTGTGAAGGCCATTTTCTTTCTGGAAGTTGATCAGAAAGTTAATCCAGCTTTCGTTCTGAGAAAATCTTCACTCCCAGGAAGAAAGCAACTGGAAAAAACAATTGATATAAATGATAAATGAATGACAAGAAAGACAACTATTCTTGTTGAAGATTGGTTTGTTTCGTTGAAATGTCAATCCCCATCGATAAAAGATCTTGACGAAGAGAATCTGCATTTTTGAAATGTAGACCGACGATGCCCACTTCCTTCGCGGCCTCTACGTTTCTCATCCTGTGATGAAACCATGAGCCAGCACGTTAATTATGATGTGAAGTTAATTACCTCAACGTCTCCAAGTTACGAACTTCAAAGCTTGCATAGACCAATGTGTTGAAAAATGTGTCGTAACAAACCTGTCATCTACGAAGATACAGCTTCCCGGATCAACTTCCAGATGTCTCACAACCTCCAAATAGAATTCAGGATCGGGCTTCCTCTTCCCTGAAATGCAAAAGTGAATAGGAAGTGTTGAGACATTCATGTAGACATTCTTGTGCAGCGAGCAGATGGAAGAGAATTTCACAAATAAAATGTCAAGCCGCTTAACATACCGGTTATACATGAACAAAACGTCCAAGATAAATATTTTGATATGTTTAATTTGTCCTCAATCATCTCATACCTACCCAAAAAAGAAAAAGGAATTCCTCCTGAGTAAAATGATGAAGTGCTATGCTTGATAAGAAAACAAAACTATAGAAATTTCATCTAACCAGATCGGATAGTTTGTGAAAGCATGCATCTCGTAGTTGTTATGTTTTAACACATCAAGCAATTCTTCAACACCTTCAACATAGGAGTATCCTTTCTTCATGCAATTTTTCAGGCCTGCAAAGAGAAATTACACACTTTCGCGTAAGATTCAGAAGGAAAAGCGCATAGATAAAAGCAAATTATATGAGAATCCATTCATGTCAATGTACAGACTTCAGTTCTTCAATCCCCCCAAGCAATAAAATTGACAATATTGTGAAAGTCGTTCAGAAGCAATTTGTGATGAAGCTTTCAAATATAACAAAGGACATAATAAAATATTAACAATTCCTATTGTAACTTATGACTTTGGAATCAGTACAACGTATCTACACTTTGCAAGATAAATGTAATTCAGGATGTATATTGGAAAAGACTCTGACATACGAACAAGACAATGTACCACATCGAGTCCAAAGCAGTTGTGATCAATCAACCAAAAGGAAAGAAAAAATTGCAGTCTTGGCCTGTTGCAGCAGATGCTTAATATAGTGTTCTACTCTCACCACCGGTGTTTTACGATATTATCATTTTCCCAGTCCTTTTTGAATTCGAAACAAAAGAATTAATTCTAACAGGAGGTATACTGTGGTTGCAAGTTGCAACACAGCTAAGAGGGCCCAAAAATGAGGGTTTAAAATAGGATGCCGTTTCACATTCACCACATATCTAAGAGTCAAGAAAAATACTGAAATATTGAGATTTTGATGACAAACAATTTCAGCTGCATAAAACTTTCACCGACTAGCGAATCCCACAGTACATAAATCATTGTTCTTTTCGCTATCAGTGCCAAACTTCATAAAGCAGAAAAGGGACTGTTTACACAAGATTATCAGCAGAAAACCACAGCAACATGAAAAGTAGTTTTCAAGTCAGATGAAGTACATTCTTACTAGTTCTAATAGCCAACGATCAAGTTAAAACTAATGAAAATGAATGGTTCAGTATTTGAAATACGTAAAAGACCACAGACATGGCTGGAAAATAGTAAGAAACTCCAACTAACCTTCCAAATCTATAGGCCTTCCATCCTTAAAGAATGTTCTTGCTAGCTCCATCTGGGGTGAAAATAATTTTGTGATGCAGAAGCTATAGCAAGGACAAAAGATACAGACTCTGAATGTATAATCTTCGGTTGGTTCCGTTCAAATTCAACAAAACACTATAACTTGAGTTCAAACATTTATTTTCACGAAAGCTTCTCAAAAGCACTCAAATTTCCTGTTCAAAGTTCATAACTGAACTGATATCATATATTGGTTATCGCTTAACGTCCTAGTAAACATAATTTTGCTACACCAATTCCAAGTGTACCTCATCAGTTATACCCTTTTCGAACTCAATCCATGCAGTCGGGTGCTTGCTTTCGATCAATTCTTCGAAAGACATTCTGCACATAAAATCTCAATTTCATTAGCTGGGGGCAGTGGGAATTCAAACAAAAACAGGACAGAAATTCCGGAAAAATAAAACAAGTCAAACATTCCAAGATATCCAATTTTTCAGCATCCTATAAAACCAGTAAAAGCTGATAAATTTCTCATCTTTCCTCGATTATAATACAACCCAATTGAATCAACAGCAAGAAAACACAACCAATTAAGGAAAATAGAAAAAGAAGGAGAATTTGGGGTACCTGAAGAAGGCAGGGACATCGTGGTAAAAGGGGTCACGAACAACTGTGTCCATGATGTCGAAGAGGATTATAGGAAGCTTTCGAGTATTGGTACCATGAAAGGAGGAGCGCTTGGTGGTGTTGTGGGCGTCGTGGGTTGTAAGAGCCAGTGTTGTAGCTCTGTGAAATCGAGGTGAGCTTGTCCTGCAGCCGTTGCGTCTTAGATTTAGAGGGAAAGGGATAGCGGCTACTTTCAAGAGCTGAGCCATTATTCAACTGTATCTCCCTCACCTTCTCTCAATCTTTGACCTGTTTGATTTTTATTTTTATTTTTATTTTCTATGAAAAACTCCATAGATTATTACCATTGGATCTCCACCTTATACACACATTTTCTGTAATTTATAATTTCATAATAACTCTTTTGTCCAAAAATAATAATAATAATAATTTCATAAAACTCTAATACAAGAGCTAGTATTGCCATGGGAACCCAAGCACGGAAAACAGATGCAATTCCGTACACTCAAACCATGCTTAAATGGAGTCAATCTAAAAGCCTATGTGATTCTTTTTTTATAAAATGATCTTGAGGATAAGGATTAGGTTAAGTTAGTCAGACAGTGTATCAGTTATAATTATGTGTCAAGCTTGTCATCTATAAACAAATGAACGTAAAACTTGCTGCTTGTAAGTAGAAATAATATCATTAGGATTATAAATGAGAAATTTTATATGCGACTGTTATAAATGATAAGATTGCAATTCTTATCCATTAGAGTTTAATTTAAGGGAATTTTAACAAAAAATTTCCATTACTGTTCACTTTAACGGAAAACCACATTTTTATACTAAAAAGTCAATTATGATATTATTCACCTTACCATTTATCTTGTCCTTATCGTTAAATTTCAAAGTTTTCAAATTTTTTTTTATTAATTTTCTTTTTAATTTAATCGAAACCTGTTAAATTAGATTATCATTATGTAAGAAAAATCCAATGAAGGTGAGGTAGGCAATTATATGATTTCGAATTGAATATTGATTTACCAACCACCAACTAGTTAAACGGACTGGTGGGCCATTTCTTTTGGTTTGCCATTAAAAGTCCAATCACTCAAAACATGAACTGATACTTTATGACCCACTTCAATTTAACGTCCCAGCCCAGAATCTCTGAGGCCCCCACTATTTACTCCCAAAGCCCAAAAACAGAAAGCACCTCCTCAGCCACTATAAGAACATACAGGGGGCGTTTGTTTGCCCTCACTAAGTTGGATTAGACTGGACTGGACTAGCTATTAGTCCAATACTGTGTTTGTTCCATGCTGGGACTAACATTAATAAGACTAAAGGGGACTAGCATGGACAAAACCCTTCACTAAGAGGTCTTAGCGAGACCCCCAATAACCATGGGACTAGCTAAGACTATCCTCTCTTTCTCGTCCTCGTCATGCTCAACGACCACTCCCGACAGACTCCTCGTCATCTCTGGTCACCTAGATCAATCATTAACTTTCTGACTCTCTTTCAGATCCATTTCACAACCAACTTTCATAAAAAATATACCAAATTGAAGCTGGGAGTGACAAGATTACGATTTTACTTGAATCGAGGCTAAAATGTGGTCGAATGTGGCCGGAAAATGGCCTAGAAGTCTCAGCCTGTTTGGGCTTCTTCAAATCCATGACAGATTCGAGCATTCAAAGCTAAGATCTCGGTCCAAGGATGGTGATGAATTTTTTGGCGCTGCTAACTTCATCCAATTTAATGAGGGTTGGCCGGAAAACATGTCGGGAAACCTGCAACTCGTCGGGAAAATTGAAGTCGTGAGGTTTCGTTCGAACAACGCATAGCTAGAGAGGAATGGAGGACAGAGAAATAGAGACTTGAATCAATAAGGAGTTTGACCAAAAATAAGAAAGAGACATGAATTGAGAGGTCTAAGAGGAAAAAAAGTGGGACAATGAGAGAAGAGGAAAAGAGTGAGACGGAAATGGTAGGAAAAGATAGAGAAAAATATAAGATCATAATAAAATATTAATAATTTATATATTAAATAATATAATATTAGAATTTGTTATTATCCAACTTTTTAGTCCAATACTGCACCAAACGCTTCACTAAATTAGTCCAGTTTAGTCTAGTCTAAGCCAGTCCAGCTTAATCCTTGAAGCTAATCCAGTCCGAGATAGTTCGGCGCAACAAACGCCCCCATAATGTTTGCCAAAAATACAGCAACTGCCTCCGGATTCGGTAACTGACAGTGAGGACCTTCAGGAAGTAAATGTGAACGCAGAAGACGAAGCCTACCAACGCCTCCACCACCACCAAATCGTCGGGACTGGGGAGTTTGGGAGGATGTAAACAGCTAGATAGTACATCACGGCGGCGAGGAACAAATGGCCGATCAGAACCACCGAGTTCGGGGCTCTTCCGGAGGCTCGCGGAGGGGCGTAACCATCATACAGATCATAGGGGAAGGGAACCTACGGAGGCATGAAGCCATGAGGGCAGAGAGGTCGAACCCATGACCGAGAGAGAGAGTAGATTTTACAGTGGGCGATGCAAATAGAGTTGGGCGTTGACTAGGGTAAAACGTAGTCGTGCTGTTTTCTAATTGGGCGACCCGGATCCATGGGGCCGCAGCGGTAAAATTAAAACGTTGGTTTTTTTTGGCCTAAGGGTATTTTTCGGATTCTCTTTTTGAGAATTTTAAGGATGCTCAAATTGTGTTCATTTATTATACATTGTACGGTCAATTCTCTTTAAGTACTATTAATGTTCAATTTTAAATAGAATAATTTAAAATAATTTTTGACCGCACGATGTATAATAAACGGACACAATTGAAGGATTTTCAGGATCCTCACAAAGAGGATCCGGAGAGGATCTTCATAAAGAGGATCTGGAGAGGATCCTCATTCATTTTTTGGAGTGGGATTCTCTCGTGGCAAAAACTGTGTGGAGGAATTTCTTCTAGTTATCCTTAAACTTCTGTGCTTGGTAGAGAAGAAGCAAACAAAGGTACGCTTGCTTGCTATCTTGTTCTCCGCCGCAACCCGACCTGCCACACTAGAATTGGGGAGACTTGGATCTAGGTGAGCTCCTTTCTTATTCAATAAAAAAGAAGCGTGGCAAAGGTAGTTACTTGCTCTTATGCAGCTAAACAAGAAAGTCAATGAAATCGAAACCCATTCTAACTATTCTAATCTAAAGTAAGACTTTGAAAGGAAGGTTTGAGGGGGGCATAGTCGTCGGGTAAGAAAAACTGCCTTATTTGCCAGGGTTGTAGTTTAGAACTAGTTCATATCAAAAGACCTTAAGGGTTAATAGATGACGCTTTATCACTGTGTTAGAAAGTATTGATGTTTATGCACTATGATGTGGGTTTGATCTTTACTGATCTTTTTTTCTCTTAACAACTAACAATTTAACCCAGTATAATGGATCATGAATGGAACTTGTTGAAGTAGGTGCCAATATAATGGACGTTGTACTTTGGTAGATGATACTGCATTTACACTTTCTGAAGCTCGCATTGACGGATTTTGTGCTCGAGTAGGAGAGCTGCGATAGAACTTTTGTGTACTTGTGACACTGCTACGTCTTGTTACCATTTTATTCAGGATTATAACTTACGTATTTTTATTAATATACCTAAAGTGAAACATGTCAGTCCATCTATATTATAACACGTGAAATAATAATGTCACATGATAGTTGTTGTGAATGAACAATCATCTCCGCCAACACACCAAGCTATTTACTCCATCTAAACTTTTTTTTTTTTTTTTCCCTCTGACCTTTCAACTGAGGAATTTGCTACCATACTTACATGTATTATGGTGATTGTAGTTGTTGATACACAAAATCGGGTGAACTTTGGAACAACGTAAAACGATAAGATTGTGACTTTCGTAAGGTTGCTCGAATCACTAATTATAAGTGTTCGCTACAGTAAATACATGTGATGATACAAAAATATGATTTTTGCCTAATATCACTATGATTACAAATATCACATTACATGGTATTAAAATATGATACAAATATATAGTAAGTCCATATGTAATGGAATTGAATAATTACAGCTGTGGTCGTTATGAATTGAAAATGTACTTGATTTGGTTGTTGTGTATTGAAGATGTAAATTTATTTGGTTGACATGGTTGTTGGGAATGAACACCTATGTACGTGTTCTATTGGAGTTCGTATGAGAACAGGATAAAACAGTGAGGGAAATACCCGCAAGTGGGAGAGAATTTTTAATATGTTTGAAACACGGGATGGTACGTCATATGTTATTATACAAGTGGGGGGAAGTGTGTCCCTCCACTTGTATAATAACATATGACATATGTGTCTGTATTTCGGACACACTAAAAAATCTCTTGTCAAATGGGAAGTTGACGATATTATAACTTAATTCTCTTGACAACAAGGCACGAGCCCTTACCCATTCATTCGATTATGTTTTCCATGCGTAGGGTTCCATACCCTTCTGTTTTGTTGAATTCTTAAACCTATCCATCTGTTTTTTTTGTTTTAGCAGTCACCCGTAATCATAGACGACGACCGTGACTTCTACAAGGGTTCCAGCTCAAGAGAGACGACTCATTACCGGAATACAATTTGCCGGAGCACACTCTTGGTCCATCACTCCTCGACCACCACCACGATAAGCGTCCTATCCTGGCCTTCTTCGCCGGCGGTGCTAATGGAGACATAAGTAAGTTCTGGTTTGAACATTGCAGGGACAAAGACGATGAAATCCAAGTCCATGAGTACCTTCCAAAGGGGCAAAATTACCACTAGATTATGGGACTGACCAAGTTTTGCTTGTGCCCTAGTGGCTCTGAAGCTGCTAGCCCTAGAGTGTTTGAGGCAATGTATGCAGGGTGCGTCCCTTGTCCTCATTTCGGATTTACCATTCATTGCCCTTCGCTGATGTTCTTGATTGGAGCAAAAGCAGCAATCGGTTATCAACGAATCTATTTGAAAACTTAACAATAAACCCTGCTAAGCAAAATGCAGACAGAAATTTTTCTCTCAAAATTGTAAAGAAATTTTTTGCCTATAAGATGTGTAACGTTAACGTCGATGAGTAAAATCAAATACAAGTGGATTATTTCACTTGGTACATTATTCGTTATTGCAAGAAAGTTTTACAAAAAGGTCAAAACCCAGTCTTAAACCCATTTTTACATCCTAGCCGGCACAAGTTGCATATGAAACATAAATTTCGAAAAGTACAATGTAAGAAGTATGGCGGAGAAAGGAAAAACGACGAATAACTCAACGGTGAATATCATTACCAGAAACCTCAGTCGTCCG